GCAGCCCCGCCCGAAGGCTGGCTGGACGGCCCCGGCCTGGATGCGGCAGCTGTGGCCGCCGCGTACGAGACCGTTGCCGGCCTCGCCGCCGTCTTGTTTGCCCCTAGGGGGGGGGCGCAGGACGATGCCCTCCAGCACGGAGAACCGGTGCTGGAAGGCAGCCAGCTCCTGCCGGACCAGGTTCAGAACCTGGTTCTCCACCGGCACGGGCTGGCTTGGGCGCTGCGTCTGGGGCGCTGCGCGAGAGGCAGGCTCACGTAGACTGGCCAGGTCTGCGCGGAGCTTCTCGTTCTCCTTCTGGAGAGTCTCCATGGCGGACGTCAGGCGGGCCACTTCCGCCCGCAGCTCCGCTACCTCGTTTACATTAAGCTCGGCCCCAACAAAGTTGGCCTCCGCAGCCGCCATGATGGAGGCGGAGGCCGCGGGAATGGCCTTTAACTTTGAGGAGGCCTTTTGCTTGTGGGCCACGACCTTGATCGCGGCCTCCACCTCCTTTACGAATCTGGCCTTACGCTCCACCTCGGAGCCGCCAGTCGCATCCGTCTCTTCGCCTGATACCCGAGCCGTATCGCCCGGGTGGCGCCCCTCCTCGGCATGCTTTGCCGCTTGTTCGGCCCTCTGATTGTCAGAGGGCCCCCTCCCCTTGCCTCTCAGCCCGCCCCGCCTGTTGGTGGGGATTTTCCGGGCCGAAGTCTCCTCTTCTCCGGCTGACGACCCCTGGTCGCCATCCCGCCTGGACCGCTTGCGGAAGAACTTACTGGTCTCCGCGGTCCCAGGCTCCACGCGTCGGGAGCTCTCTGAGCCTCCCACGCTGCTCGATGCGGCGTCGGACTCTGTCCCCGCATCGTTCCTCCTCTCCTCTACGTTGCCGTTGCCGGCGGTTTTGGTTTTTTGTTCTTTATTTTCCATATTTGTACCCACGAGTATGGGAGTAATTAAATGTCCACCTTGGCAGTGACCCCTTACCAAGGTAAGCAGATTTAGAGGATTTATTACTCGCCAGGGGGTCTGCAGGTACCCTGGCGAGGAGCGCACTATCGACTGATTTGTTCATAGAACCCCGTCAGCCATCCATCCCCTCGCGGTGCGTCGCCGCTTGAGATTCGGGGTAACTTTTTATAGAGGTTTTCTCCCTCGCGGTCCGGGCGGTTAAGCCAAGACCCTCGGTCCCAATCAAAGCCGCGAGACATGATCCACGACACTTCGATACTGGGATTACGAGACCGGCGGTGACAGCAAAGGATGAATCCTTCACTGTCTGCCCGGAGGCAGGGTAAGTGCACATCGAGCCCGCCCTCACTCCTCTGCTATGCCCTCTGCTGATCAGAGGGTCACGCAGTGGAACGCGCCGTTGGTCCGGGACGGACCCCACCCATGTCAGAATAATTAGCCGCGGCAGTAACCTTCCCCAAGGAGTAAGAATTTCTTCTCATTTCTCGAGGAAGATTACTGCCGCGCCCAGGGTGCACCGGCCCAGTAGCTGCTCTTCCCTCCAGACGTATCGAGAGGGACCCGCAACTACCAGGCACACGTGGAGGACTTCTGACTTCGCACCCCCTCTGACTTCGCACCCCAATGTAGCCCCCTGCATTGTACCTTTGGAGACCCTTCTGGGACCATGGAGAATATTATTATGCCTAATATACAAAGTTCTATCTATTAAAAAATTAAATAACCAATGGCAAAGTATGCCTGGTATACCAATGTCAGAAAGAACTTGAACCAAAATGCCAGGATCTACATTATCAAACGCACCTTCAATATCCAGAAAAACACAAACACTGGACTTATTATTATTATTGGCATATTTCAGATCTGACAAGAGAGAGATGAAGCTGTCAGCACAACTTCTGCCTCTCCGGAAGCCATATTGAACATGTGGAATGATGTTGTTCGCCTCTACATAACACTCAAGACGCATCTTTATCATGTTTTCATTAAGCTTTCCAACACAAGATGACAAAGATATAGGACGATATGAATTAGGATCTTCAGGTGGCTTGTCAAGCTTAAGTAGGGATCACACACTGTGTTTTCCAAGATTCAGGAATTTTTTTTAAGTGCCAAAGAGCATTAAGATTAGCTAATAGTTTCTTTTGTACGGACTGATTTAGGTTTTTGATCAAAATGTATGGACAATTATCTAAACCAGGGGTTGTGTTTCGTCTGGATTGTAAACTTGTACATGAGGAAACTGGACTTCTGAAGACTATTATTAATTTGAAAATAACTTTCTAGATTATCAATAACCCTACATCCATTTCGAGATAATTTATCTAAAAGAGGGACTACAAATTCGTCTTTATATGTTCTATTATTGCATTTTATTCGTTTAAATAACTTGATGTATTTCCAAATAATACTAACAGGTGTAGTTCTGTTAAAAGTATTACAGATGTTAGCCCAACCATTGCGTTTATGTTCTGAAATAGTCTTTTTCTTAACAGCATTAAGTCTTTTGTAATTAATGTAATTATCAATGGTTGGATCTCTTCTGTACAGTTTTAAAGCTTCATAAGTTTTAATAACACTCTGTTCACATGTGTCACTCCACCAAGGTGCTGGAGGTTTGCAACGATAGTTGTTTGCTTTGACAAACTTTGGCACAGTATCTCTCCTAAGTGTATCAAGCCTTTCAATAAATTCATCATATGACTGTAATGGATTCTCATTATTAACTTCAAAATTAGAAAAAGCAGTTATAGACAGCTCATTGTATTTTGTCCAGTCTGTCTTGTTGTATAAGAATTTTTCAATGGGAGGATTAATTTGGTATCTATCAACTGACAATAAAACACGAGTAAGCGTAGGAAAATGATAGCTCCCCATACAATCATCATGCACCCACCATTCGCATAGTGGAGTGATTGAAGCACTACAAAAGCTGACATCAATAGCCGATGGATTTCGGTTAGGATAATTAATAGTAGTGAAGCTACCATTGTTGAGGACACATAGATCGAATTTATCAATTAAATCGTATAACTGATGACCCCGACTTTTCGTGGTCATACACCCAAATGTCACATGGTGAGCGTTGAAATCTCCAGCCACATATATTGGCTTAGGCAAATCTCTAATTATATCACGCAGTTTACTTATTCTGAAGTTACCATTCGATGGAGGGCAGTATACACATAAAATCGTTAATTGTTTACCACTTACATATAACAATAATGCCACAGTCTGAATGTCTTGGTAAAATCTGGTTTGAATAATATTATATTTAAAATACGGTTTGATCAAAATTGCTACTCCACCATGCTCATTTTGGGCATTATGATAGTGGAAATTATATCCCGAAATGTTAAAATGCTGAGTATCTTTCAGCCAAGTTTCATTGAGTAGACAGATATCAACATTTTGTTCATCTAAAAATTTAGATAATAAGGATTTTTTCCTATGTATACTTTGAATATTGTACTGAGCTATACATAACTGCTGTATGTTCTGTACTGTACTGTCCATTATTGTGACAGATTTTTTAAAAGTAAGTCTTTAATTAACAGTGTAGTCACAGGTTCATTATCTGTTTTATTACCTAATTCGACTAAAGTTTGGACCATTGCCATCAAAATATTCTTATTGTTTGCAATTTGAGCCTTAAGTTGAGTTTGGTTCAAGTTGGGTTCAGGCACTGTTTTATTTACATTATTTACAATTTTTACATTTTTATTTAATTTATGTACATTTTGGTTTATTGATGGTAGGGTCTTAACAATGCTGCTCGACTGTGCAGGTAAAGACGGAAAATCAGATGACTTAATTGTATTAGCTACAGAGGCATAAGTAATTTTACCCTTTTTTCAAGTATTTTTTTCATTTTTATTGGGCAAGATTTGGAAATGGCCAGGTGGGGACCACTGCAATTGACACAACACAGGTTTTCTTTTTTATCACAGTCTCTGAAATTATGTTCCTCAGCACATATCGAGCAACGTTGTTTACCATTACAAATTTTCGCAGGGTGGTTGAACTTGAAGCACCGGAAGCATTGTTGTAACGGTGGGACATATTCAAACACCCTGAACGAAAATAGGTCATATTGGATGTTGTCGGGCAGTACATTTGATAGGAAAGTTATACTGACCGTCTCGAGACCTACAGTACTTTGACCGACTTTTTTCGTGAATCTTCTCACTGAAATAATTTCATAAATCGAAGACAGTTTCGTATATAATTCCTTGTTCGAAATGTTGGTAGGCACATATCGGATGATTCCAGTTTTTTCTATCTGCGCTGCAGGAATATGCGCCTTCAAGTTGTGCTTTGTTAAAAAGTCTGTATTTGTGATGAAATTATTTGCAGTGTTGTATTGTTTAAAAACAACCGCAATTTTGTTGGCATTGACTCTATGTAAAGCTACCACACCTTTCACCTCCGAAGTAAAAATATGATTTAAGTAAACTGGGCTTTTATTTCCAAGTTTAACCTGTTTGTCCTGGCTTTCAACAAAAACTTTGAAGTCCGTATTTGTACAATGTTCAGGATAAAGTCTCAGATAACCTGGCTTAAAAAACTTTCCTTCGTACCTCTTTTACGAACAATTTTGGATCGTTTCGGGGTTCCACCTGGATCCTCCGGTTCATTCATTTTAACAATTAACAAAATGTACAATTATTTACACCGAACAGGATATTTTAACGATAAATATAAAAATTAAATCGACCGCCTCGTTTGATGTTCCCGCCAAAAAAAACGAAAAAAGAAAAGGCTTACATCAGGCATAGATAAGTGTATATTTTCCTATATAAAAAAGTACTCTGTGGTATATACGGAAACTTTCAGGTAGCAACTAGCTTGCTACATATATATTTATCTATGGTAGCAACTGTCAGTATAAAGCGTACTTAGTGTTTCTATAATATAAATATAGTTTGTGATAAAAACATAGTGATTAGTGAAATAAATACGTTGTCTTAGTCTCTTTTCTATGATATTTTAAGCACTAAACTTGATTCAAATTCAAGTTAGTATTTTTTGTTTTGAACATCATCCACATGCCTTCTAAAAAGAAATCAAATCTTTCACAATACACAAAACAATGTATAAGATCGAGGCAATATCGAGCAAAGCGAGTGGCTGAAGAACGTGCAGCTTGGTCAGCTACCGATGGTCTGGATTATGTTGAGCCTAACATTCCAGAGTTGCTCATTCCACGTTCAACAACTAATTGTGAACTCCTTCTAGATTATCAGGCGTCGGATGTTACGCACCATAAGGATCGTTTATCCATTGATAATAATCAACAATATATGGAATGTGCTTCTAAAAACAATGTTTCAAACTCTCAATGTCCTAAGAGTTAAAGTGTAGTGTAGTAGTGTTAAACAAGTTTATTTGTGTGTACTTATTATTAAATTTTAATTTTGTTTATATGTTTTTGATTATAATCACAATCAATAGTTCAACATTATTAGAATTTTACTTTTAAAATAGCTCCTTTTTATACAAGTACACAGTCCATTTGTTAATAGGTGGATGCTGTAGTCCATAGACATAACATCAACATAAGATGTTGATAATACAACATGAGAGTAATCTTAATCAAAGATAGGTCCTCAAAATATTTCAAACATTTTGAGAGGCTATGAATTATCTTTAACATCTAGTAGCCCGAAGCCCTTAAAAATTAGTGCCATATTGATTGCAGTCCAGGTACTAACATATGATATCTCAATTTCCATTCCGATGCAATGCCTCTTAAAGGATATGAAACTTAATGTAGAATAAAATTTAAATTAAGCACCCAACACTTACACATGTTTCTGCTTTATGATTAGAGATCTTATTTACATACATACATATATATAATAACGCCTCTTTCCCATAGGGGTAGGCAGAGACCACTAGTTAGCTTTATTCTGAATAAGAAAAAATGAGGCATGTGCAAGGGTAAATCATCACATTAGTTTTATACTGTTATGCAATTATTTGATTGGGTTTCATTTAGTCTGAGAGCAAATAATTCAAATGGGATAATATTTTGATGGTTTTTAAAATTTTAATGGATGATGTAATTTAAAACAGATATGCGGCTAGTACTATTTTAAAAACTGATTTTTAAACTAGATTGGGCCTTAATTATTACTTTTTCAGGAATTTGTTCAGATTCAAGATTCAGAGAGATATTTCATCTAGCGACGATGAGTACAACATCCCTATTCCTACTTACATTGTAATGAGAGGATATAATTGTGAATTATGGTAACTTTAATGAATATTTTAAAATAAAAAATTTTGTACAACAAACTTCAATATAAATTACTAAGAATAACTCAAAAACTATTGGTCAGACCTTGATCAAATTTATATGGGACCGCTTGAGAAGCACCAGCTTTCAAATAAAAAAAGAATCATCAAATCAGTTCACCTAGAAATAAGTTCTGAGTTAACATGGTTGACCCTGCAGGCCATCGCAGGAAATTCCCGATTCTTTATTTTATCCCAAAATTTTTTTATAGGAGATGGGCCAAATGAGCATATGTACAGCTCACCTTAAGGGAACCTGCTGAAATTGTTTTAAACACCCCACATATAATACAAACTGTTACCTACTTTTTCTTTGTGATAAAGTAAATAATGACTATGAATAAAAATTACACTTGTAATGTATATTGAATAAAAAAAAATATTCTATTCTTTTCTAATTTTAAAAACATTTTTTTACATGGTAGAGCCATTCTGCAGCTATATTAGTAGTATAGTTGTAGCACGAATGGGTCGGCTCGACCAGGGAAGTACCACACTCTCACAGAATACCAGCGTAAAACAGCAGCTTAACACTGCTGTGTCCTTACGGGTGACAACACATCTGCAATTTAATTCTTTATTGAGGATAGATGTGGACGTCTATGTGTCACAGCAACCACTTACCATCAGGTGGACTGTGTGCTCGTTTGTCATCATATCCTATAAAAAACATTATTGTCTTCACACTAAGAATTTCTTCTGTATCGTGAAGGCGGTTTACCAACTTAAATTGTCCTTAGATAGCTAAGTGTAATATTACAAAACATACCTACGATTTATTTGGACTGATTTTTATTATTAGTGCAGTGCTATTGTATCTGTAAACTGCTCATCACTGATACTATCTCTGACGGGCATGATGCCAGGTGAACAGTGTGCTTTTTGGCCACGCCCGCGAGTGAGTTCAAGCCTGCAACTTGTGCCACCTTAAGATAGATAATGCAACTCTGGTGGCAGGACGCGGGGTAGTGCGTCTCTGCAAACTTCTAAAGACATTATTGTGCAAGAGGAGTCCGTTATCTCCTTGAGCGAGAGCGGTTATTATAAATACGAATTTTGTTACTTAGGCGTTATTAGGCTTATTACCTTACATGTCTGTTAAGAGGTATTGCTTTTAGTACTGACAAATTTATTTTAGGTTTTATAGTTGTCAGGTATTGGATGTAAATAAAATAACTGTAATGCAACATTAGGATCGAAGGTGCGGGCTACTGTAGACAGCACCGAGCGCTTGGTCCATGCATTAGGAGGGGTCACGTAACAAGTGGACTGTTGACGGATGAAAGGCTTAGTGGAGGCGGCCGTGGTGAGAGCTAGGGCGGCAGCTTCCTAGCCGGAGCTGCCTCCATCGGACCGGCACTCGAACCGGGGGTCCGGAAAGCAGCATTCCGGCGCCATCTCAACGACCCGTGGTTGCCATTCACCAAATGGGCCGACCTGGGGAAATTTGGGGAACCTCGGCCTTGGGGCCCGGGACAGTCTTGAGGTCACAGGAACCTGGTAGTACCGGTACCGACCAAGGGGAGGAGGGTGGTACTCCAGTCGCGGCCACTCAGCTAACGGGGTGAGACGGTTCTAGCTGACCGCTGAGTGGCCGCGAAGCTCCTCTCAACACGCTGAGGGGGGGTGAACGACTCCCCGACCGGTCGGGGGAGGGACCCCCCTCAGAACGAGGGCAACGGTGGTCGGCAGGCGAGCGCCGAGAGTCGCCCGACAGGGACCGTGGCTGAGCGCCCCCACCCGGGGGAGTCGGGGGCCGGCAGGGCCCCGAGAGGACGCGCTGCTTGCACCCAGGCACAAAATAGCGTGGTGGTTGCCCTGGCAGTGCGTGCAGTCTCGTTGGAGATGCCTTTCCAGGCACGAGTTGCACCAGCGACGCTCCCTGACGATGGTTCGCCTCGCCGGGGCCGGCTTACACAGCAACTTAGGGCACGACGTCGCCCGGTGATCGGATGCTCGACAATAGGAGCAGGGGGGCGCCTCCCTGGCCGCTAGGCCACTATAAGAGGGTAGGGGGTAGCACCCTCCCGCGGGAGCTCCGCTCGGCCTCAGGGGGGTTGGTGACGCCTTGGCCGTCGGATTCCGCCTCTCCCTGGACACGGCTTCGTAGGTCCTCGACGGCGCCCGCTGCGTTCTCCATTTGCCGGCACTGCTCCTCCAAGAACCGCAGCAGGTCCCTGAAGGGCGGAATATAGGAGGCGCCGTCCCCGCCGTACCTCTCCTCAAAATGGAGCCGAAGATCGAGAGGCAGGCGGGACAGCACAATGTGGAGCAACAAAAAGAACCATTCGTCCACCGGTGAATCCAGCCGCCTCAATGAGTTGCAAGCCGCCACGACTGGATTTACGATGTCCGTACGTAGTCTGGTCCGGTCCTTAAGCAGCGGGAGGTTTGTAATCTGCCTAACGTATTCGTCAGCAATACGCCTGACGTTGGCGTACCTTCCGGCGAGGAGGTCCCGGGCATTCTGGTAGGCGTCGTCCGACAACTTCAGGTGGCCGGCGACGCCCAGGGCCTCCCTCTCCAATGATACCAGGAGGTACCCCATCTTCTGACTTGGTGTCAAGTCCCTCCGGGCGTCCACTAGGCTGTCAAACAGGCCGACAAAGGTCAGCCATTCGGAGAGGACCCCGGAGAACCTTGGCAGGTCCAGAGTTGGGAGTCGTCCTAACAGCTCCGGTTAAGTAGGCTGCTTCCGAGGGGATTCGGGCAGGCCACTCATCCGAGCTTCACGTGCTTCCTTAGCGTACTTGGCCCCCGCCTCGATCAAGTCGTCCGTGAGCGAAAAGAATTGCTTGTAGTCCGCGAGGCAGGAGTCTAGGACTCCCTGTTCCGCATCATCCGAGGCTAATAGCTCTTTGCAAGCCTCCTCCACTACAGCCCTTCGGGCCGCGACCTGCTCGAGCCGCTTCTCTAAACTATAGACCCGATCCGGTCGCCCTATCAAAGCATGAGCGTTAGCGGCCCAACGCAGCTCCGCCTCCAGGCGATGCGCCGCTAGCTTGTGCGATGGCATCACTACTAAATACAAATTAATACGCGGCTCAAATACAAATTAAATTAACAAATACAATTACGATCAAATCAAGTTAAATACAAATTACACAAATACAAATTACTATTTATTAAATGAAATACAAATTACACTACAAATAAAGGTACACACTACAGTCGATCAGCAAAGACGCCTCGCCCTGCGCGACCGACCCTTCGACAATTAATCTACTATAATTATACGATAACTATAATTATCCGATTACGTGATAACAATTATCTACCTACCCAAAATACTTTACGCGTAAGTACCTAGCCCTAACAAACAAAAAAAGGAAGAAAAAGGAATATTTTTATAACACGGCCGAGGGTAATTGGAGAACAATTAACCATGCTCTGCTACCAGAATGTACACGCCCCTAGTTGCCCCGAAAACGGCAAATACCCCGTCAGCGGTAGATTCGACGGACAACTAAGGGTGGGGCTCGAAATGCCTATGGATAATCAATATATCAGGAATAGGTAATTAATTCGACTTGGTTCAGAAGCGAAGACTGGCCACAAGGCTCGGTCAGGCGGTAGGTGTAGGGTATGTAAGTGGTGTTTAGTGGTGTGTAAAATGTGAAACCTGACTTAATCCTTTTAATCGGCAGCAGCCCTGACTCCGGCACCGCCACACGGTGTGGGATCCTCCAGCGGCGTCACCTCGATGTCACTCAAAGTCTAGCGTCCCTTAGCACAAATCTATAATCTAATACGAACGCTGTTTCTCGCGGGTCACAAAGTTTAGTGTTTTTAACCGACATAGGAAAATATCTCCGAGTTACATCAAATAGCACAAAGCAACTCGTCGACGCAAATTAATATTGTTAAAGCACTTCAACCGGCAATCACTATACAATTTACGTAAATTACTTGCCAACGAATTTAAGTTAATCAATCAAAATATTACAGCTTCGTTATCGCGTGAACGCACTAAAGATCACCAAACATTAGAAGCGAAAACCTCCAATAGTAAATTCTACGCGTCCTCTCGACCGGCAGTTGTTCACACTTAATCTCT